GGGTCCCTCAACATCACCCATGAGTCTTCCCTGGGAATCCCACAAGTACTATTTGGCACATGTTCCCCCACAGCAGCCATATATTTCTCTTGCAGGGCAGCAAATCCTCCAACTTTTGTAAAAGCTGCAGAAACACAAATTGATAATGATGTTGTTCATTAAAAGAATGCATTAATTACCATAAACTGTACTTGATGAGATTCTGAGCCTCAAATTGCTTTTTAAATTAAATTGACAGGATGCTGAACTTAGATGCAAGGGTTCATCAACACAATTAGTCTCTCACTTCTTTTCAAAACACATCAAATAACATTTCTTATTGCTCTTCCCTTTCTTGTGCCAAAAGGCCTCCAGAAAATTTGAGTTATGGAGATTAGAGAGGAGAAGCCTTTGAGTTTGATAGGCTTTTAATGCATCATTTTTTAGAGAAATCAGATGGAGACTCAAGAAGCATCCAAAATAGGGGAGGTTCGAGTTTTCAGAGTTCAACTGTATTTTTCAAACAAGACTGACAACAGTCTAACCTTTAACCATGAGGATGGAGGAACCAATCATCATGATGAAGAACTGGAGTGTGTCTGTGTAGATCACACCTGCAAGGCCTGGTCCAATGGTACAGACTGCAGTTATTGCCAGCAGGATCAGCACTGAAACGTACAGATTCCATCCCAGGCCTTGCTTAATAAACAATGCTCCACTGTACAGGTTAACCTTGGTGAGGGAAAAGAAAGATGAAACCAGGCACATCAAAATCATTGTCATCACAGATACTTCAGCTCTTCGCACTTCTTTCATGGATCAAGTTCTTTTCTCTAAAAAAAAATCCCAAACTCAAGGTAACCTGTGGTGAAAGCTGGAATTGCAAGGATACATTTTTTTAAACTCAGCCATTTTTTGAAACTTGTACATCAATAGAATTCACACAGCACACCCCATTTCTAATACTGTGCAGCAGGATCTCATTACAACAAATCTTGCTGAAAAAACAAACATTTTTACAACATACAGTATTTTTTCATAAGATCTTGGCAGTTGAGCCACAAAATTTTCTCCTTTCCACTGGCAATAAAATTATTTACAATTCCCATCATGTGGCTATTTGGTAACAATATCTTCCAATTAAAAAAACCAACCAATGATTCTTCACATCAAATAAATAAAAAACTCTTGATGATTAACTATCAAGCAATTAATTACACTGGGCTCCTAAATGAAAACTCACAAATGAGTCCTGTTGGACAAACTACAATATCATTTGAGCTTTCATAGGAAACGTTTGAATTTCTTTAATAAAAACTTCTGCATGACCAACAAAAACAGTTTAATTTAGTTACGAACATGTAAAATTTTATGTAAAAAAAATAGAACAGATGGAAAAATTCCTAACTTTCCAGGATAGTCAAAATAGGGTTCTCAAATGTTTTGAGTCCTTCAAAATTTGACTTTCTTGAACTCAACCATGTACAGTATTTGTAAAACACAAACAGGGATTGTTTCAATATAGCAAACACTCAATGATCCGTTCACACTGCACAAACAGAAAAAGAAACAATTGAACTTCTTTGGAGAGCGGAATATAAAAAAAAATTCTGTCTGATTTAAAAAAAAAAACTCTTGAATCAGAAAAATCTGAATTCCAACAAATAATTTGACACCATAAAAATTCTTCATGGCTTACAGAAATCTTGGTGACGACATAAAGAAACATGGAGAGAACCGCAAGGTAAACCCGTATCCTGGTGCTCCCAAAGCGCTTGTTCATGTATTCCGGCAAGGTACAAACCTAAAAACACAAGACAGGAGACAGGAACACATTTCTTACTCACACTAGGACACGTAAGAAAATATAAAATAAGAATAAAATACGCGCAGTAACACGGGAGAATCTGGCAACGCTCTCTTTTCATCAACTGTTGACCTATTTTCAGCACAATATTGTACCAGAACAGGAAACACTAACCGTTATCATCGCAATAATTTTCAACGTAATCCAAACACAGTACTTCAAATTTTAAAAATGCATCACAAAAGATTTCAAGCATCAATTCGTAAAATTGGCAGTTCAGAGCTTTAGACGGTATTTTCAATTTTCGACTTCCAAAAATATACGGGCATTAAATCAACATCACTGAAATTAATTTTCGAAAATGGAAAATAGCTTTTTCGTTTATTTCGCATTATCTTAAATTATTTTCCGATGCCTCCAAGAAATACCCAGATTTTATTAAAAAATCAATAATCATCACAAAACAGTTCCACGCGATGAATTCGTAAAATCGCCAGTTCGAACGTTATTTTCAATTTTCTTGACGCCGAAAAATATGCGGAAATTTAATCGAAAACATTTAAAATAATTTTTGAAAACAGAAAATCGATCTTTTATTCATTTGTGAATGATCTCATTTTTCCGAGGTCACTTGAAAATACCCAGACGTTTTTTTTCTTAATTCATCGCAAAACATTTCAACATGATGAATTCGTAAAATCAACAGTTTATAAACGGTATTTTCAATTTTCTTGACCTCAAAAAATAATGGAAGTATGCGGAAATTGAATCAAAATCAATTGAAATGTTTTCCAAAATTTGAAAAATTGCTTTTTCGTTAAAATTGCCCAGATTTCATTAAAATAATCCATCATCACTTTCCATTTATTTCATCATGTCCAAAAGTACGCAAAATGAATTAAAAACATTAATGTCAGGACTTAACGATGAACTAATTATCAAAACAAAATGTAGAGAAACTACTTCCCAAAGGCTGAGAAATCCCTCGGTATTCCAGAGGAATGAGACAGAATTTTTTTCCTAGAAAAAATACAGCTTGCGGTTACCATTCCAGAAATAACTTCGGGCGATTGCGACGAAACATCAAACTTTTGATCTTAGACCTCATTATTATTTATTAACCTATAATTAGTGACGACGACCCGAATATTTAATTGCAGCATCGCTGGAACTCACCCCACTGGCGATGAAGACTGGGAGAAAGATCCATCCAAGAACTTGCAACATCACAAGGGACTGTTGGAATCAATAAAAAACAATCTCAAATTCACGTAAACATTCTAAAATAGTGAAAAAATTACATAATTGATCAAGTCTCACATTAAACTCAAATGCTCCAACTCCAATCCCTGAAGCAGCTCCAGACCCAGCAAGTCCAATGAAGTGCTCACTTCCTATGTTACTAGCAAATAAAGATGCTCCCACCTGAAAAGTAATGTTTCCAGAGTTTCTTCAAATTGAATAATTAGGAAGAAACAGTTGTCTGACAGAAAAGGATAATTAATTATATTTTCCAAAGGTCTCTTGGACTTTTTTTTATAGCATAAATCAGCATTAAACAATACTTTTCCAGAAAACTAAGACCCAATAGCTTCCAGTTCTTGAGGTCAGCCATGTCTTTTGATGATCTTGAATTGAGGGTATGTCACACTTTGGTAATCAAAAACTCAATTTACTTCACTATGACAAGACCAAATTTACAGTTACAATGCTTGTTACCAAAAGAAAAGTAACTCACCGGTAACCAAATCATGTGTCTCCCAGCCAGGAAATATCCACTCACAGTTCCTCTTCCTTTTCTACACATGGACTGGAACAAAAACAGAAGCAGAAAATTGCATTATTCAAAGTCACTTATAAGAGTAATAACCAGCATTTGCACAATTCATGAGTTTAACAAAATTGCAACCAATTGGAATTTAATGTACTGGAAGAGATATATGCACCTGAATTGTTTTCTTTCATTTCTTTCATTTGATAATATTATGCTTTCTCAACTACTGTATTCCTTTTCACTTATTATTGTACAGTACTGTATATACTTTCTCAATGGTTTCTGTATGAAGAGAAAAATGACCTCCATTCTGGATACCTGTTGCTCCACATCCCGTTTTACTTTCATCTCAACAACCAAATTCATTCCCCTTACAATTACCTTCCAGAATTTTCATTTTTACTGACACAGTACAGTACTGTACTGAGAAAATTCCCTTCCTTGAATTATGTTGCTTTCTGCTATTTGTGATGTGTTTCTGCCAGATTACTGATAGTTATGATATCTTTGGCCTGGCTAGTTTTGATGTGTTTGATCAGCTTAGTTATGATGGGCTTAATCAGACTAGTTAAGTCACCTATGATGTATTTGGTCAGGCTACTTTTCTTTATTAAGCTACCCATGGTGTGTTTGGTCAGGTTAATTAGGCCAGTAATGATGTGTTTGGTCAGGTTTATTAAGCAATTTATGATCTATTTAGGCAGGTTGATTGAGCTAATTATATGTGTGGCAGGTTAATAAAGCAATTTATGATAGAAGTTTGGATGGAACTTGATAAGTGAGGTTGTTTACTCAATTCAGTAGTGCATCAGGGCCAGTTAGTTGGACATTAGGTCAGTAGTCAGTTAGACATTAGGTCAAGGCAGTTTTTAGCAGTACTGTATCATATAAAGCTCAAAATGTCTTTGAATTCAGTCAGGCCTTGGGTTACTACAGTGGCTTTAAAAACATAGGAATGTTATAGAAGTACAAAATAAGCCTTTGAAATTTAAGTGCTTTGATTTTAGACAGATCCAAATTATGTTTGGTTTCAAGTACACACACTTGAAAAAAAAAGATCCCATGATACAGAATGCCAAAGAAATGTTGTAACTTGTAAGCCCACAGAAATGTTGTAGAAAACCAATAAAATATGCCATTAAAATGCTTTGGTTTTAGACAAAACCAAATTGGGTTTGGTGTCAAGTACTGTACATACACCCACTTGAAAAGAAAAAAAGTTCACAGCATCCCGGTTGCCAAAAACGGATATTGTGCTCCAAGGAAAAAAATATGTATACACAAGAGCACACAGGACTCACCAGAACACCAACCAAAAGCACCAGGGCGAAATACACGCCAACCACAGCAATGTCCCAAGGGTTCAACCGGTTTTCCTCCAAACTCCTCTCCATCTTGCGTCACCACCACCCCTCCCGAAAAAAAAAATTTACAAATACAACCCCCCGCCGATTATGACTCGATAACGCCAAATTAGAACATTCATCAAATCCCCGTGCCAAACATGGCCATCAGCACCGGTGCACGACAAAAATATGCGCCCACAGCAGCAGCAGCAGCAACAACGAAACCGGGACTCGACCTTGACTGTCGTACACTGATATGCATCTTCGTCCCTCTCACTTCGAAAACGTATAGTACCTGTGTGCGTGTAAAATGAATCGATATAAAAGTCAGCAGGTTAGCGATGAACCAACTTCGTGACCTGCGTCGTCGCTATCCGACCCATCGCGGTATTTTTAAAATAGAAAACAAGGATTAGGGAATGCATCAAGTGAAGTTCACGCCAACCAATATTTGGATTTCATGCAAGAGGGTTGTCCCATTCGTGCGCGAACCTCGATTACTTCTAGAGTAGGTTTGACTATAAAAATAAAAAAACTATGATATAGCCCATGATGTTGTAAGGTTCTGGGATTTTTTCAATTTACTGGATTACAAGTTTTTAATTTACTGGATTAAAAGTTTTCAATTTACTGGATTATAAGTTTTAAATTTACTGGATTATAAGTTTTAAATTTACTGGATTATAAGTTTTAAATTTTACTGGATTATAAGTTTTAAATTTACTGGATTATAATTTTTTAATTTACTGGATTATAAGTTTTTAATTCTACTGGATTATAAGTTTTTAATTCTACTGGATTATAAGTTTTTAATTTACTGGGTTATAATTTTATGAGTAGAGGAAAATAATTCATAGAAAAATGCACCAGCACTATACACATTCATTTGTTCAACATACACTAATATTCAAATGTTTCAAACATCGAACGAGTCCTAGATCCCCGCAACAAAATACTTACTGTTGACAAGGACAAAGAATACATACGATCAGGTCTCGCTCACTCAAGTCAGGTAATATACAGTAGAACAAGGTGGTGAGGAAATGGTAAGTACCATTGATTCATGGATGGATTTTCAATAAATCGACACGGGCGACAGACCACATGATCCCTGGGGTTCTTGCGAAAAACCGTCGACATCGCAGAATACTGCAGTGAAATTCCCAGAATTATCCGACAGCAGAAGTTTCCGGATGATGAGCGGTCGAGAATATTCTCGACTGCTTCTCGAAGTAACGAGTTTGAAGCTAATAAACTTTAAAACAGAATGACGAAATCTAAAAATGGGCAATTCTAGCCAATTTGATCCAGGAAAACCGGCTTCTTTCTGGATCAGTCGAATTTTTAAAAAATCCCATCAAAAATACAAGAAAATCAGTCATGTCTAGTATTAGATTTCCAAAAACTGTACTGTAACTATAATATTCAGCTATATAAAAAAATGCATTCCCATTCCTATGTTCATCTGGAAACTATTTATAATTTTAATGATGCAGGGAATGCAACTTTCGGCTTATTAAGGTTATATTTTGTTGATTTCAGTTTTATCAAAAAGCCAAAGCAACAAAAAATATACAAAACATAGTACATGGACTCATTTAACATTGTGGGTATTGGGAAGGGGCCTAAAAATCAACTATTTTGTAATCAATTATTTGATATACATTAACAAGATTTGGCAAACTTCCATAAGTCAACAATTTTCCTGAGCCCAATTTCTAGTAAATACCACCTCAAAGACTCAACTCAAAGTTATGGTCAAACTTCCAGTAGTTGAATTTGTGAGGCCTTTCATCATTGAATTATGGCTAAACTTTCAAAAAAATGTTTCAGAAAAGCATTAAGAAAAGCATATGCAAATTATTTCCTTTATGCTCCATGCAAAAGATTATAAATGTGCAACATCTTTGAATACTGTACTGGACAAGTCTAATACCATATTTACTCAAGTACCACACACACCTTTTTTCCCAAATTTCAGAAGAAAAAAGGGGTGCGCGTCATAAGCAGGTACAAAATTTTCAAGAAGTTTCAGGAAGTTATGTGTGCATTATACTTGATTATAATGGAGAAATTTGGAACAAATGTAACCAGAAATTGTTCTTGTACTGAAAAAGTTGAAAATTGACCAGATTTTTGTTCATTTAATGCCTGAAGTCAAATTTTTTGTTTTCATTTGCAAAATTTTGTGGTTTTAGATTCACTAATAATTGGGGTGCGCATCTTAGTCAGGGATAAGATTTTAGCAAAATTTTCAACTGAAAAACCCCTCTGCGCGCCTTCCTCAAGGGTGCGTGGTACGCAGGTAAATACAGTAATTAAACCAGAATTCCATCAATTAACCAGTCCCAAAATAAAGAAAAATTTCCTGACTCCGTCAATTTTTTCTCCGAGTTCCTTCAAATTTGATTCCAAGTTTCCATTTCAATTGTAGAAATACGTTCTTTTAAAACCAGTCAACTCGATTTTAGATCACCTCGTATACACATACAGTAATTTCCTTTCATTTTTCTATTTGAAGAGCTCGTTTCCTCGGAAAAGCCTTTCCTCTCTTGATTGAACTTCTCATCGAATCACTTCACTCTGTTGACTATCCAACGTCGGTGAGAAAACGACGTCGAAGGAAACAAAAGAGAGAGAGAAAATAAATGCTGTATACGCAGCTCACTATAGAATCACCCAGTCACAAATAAGTCGTCGGGAAACCACATTCAATCGCTTCCCAACCATGGGAAAAACCGAAACAAAAACAAAACAGACACAAACACGAAACACATCCACCAGGCTCGTCGACCAGAATCCCAAGTCGCCGGAAGCGAATGCCTTCGGAAAAGATAAGCGGGACTCATCGCATCAAAAACCGTGACGCCGCGTTCCTTTGACTTTTATCACCGCTCAACTGATAGAAACATTATCGTCAAATCACTGGACAAAACATTCCGATCATNGTCCCATTCGTGCGCGAACCTCGATTACTTCTAGAGTAGGTTTGACTATAAAAATAAAAAAACTATGATATAGCCCATGATGTTGTAAGGTTCTGGGATTTTTTCAATTTACTGGATTACAAGTTTTAAATTTACTGGATTGAAAGTTTTCAATTTACTGGATTATAAGTTTTTAATTTACTGGATTATAAGTTTTTAATTTACTGGATTATAAGTTTTTAATTTACTGGGTTATAATTTTATGAGTAGTAGAAAATAATTCATAGAAAAATGCACCAGCACTATACACATTCATTTGTTCAACATAAACTAATATTCAAATTTTTCAAACATCGAACGAGTCCTAGATCCCAACAACAAAATACTTACTGTTGACAGGGACAAAGAATACATACGATCAGGTCTCGCTCACTCAAGTCAGGTAATATACAGTAGAACAAGGTGGTGAGGAAATGGTAAGTACTATTGATGCATGGATGGATTTTCAATAAATCGACACGGGCGACAGACCACATGATCCCTGGGGTTCTTGCGAAAAACCGTCGACATCGCAGAATACTGCAGTGAAATTCCCAGAATTATCCGACAGCAGAAGTTTAGAAAATCAGTCATGTCTAGTATTAGATTTCCAAAAACTGTACTGTAACTATAATATTCAGCTATATAAAAAAATGCATTCCCATTCCTATGTTCATCTGGAAACTATTTATAATTTTAATGATGCAGAGAATGCAATCTTCTGCTTACTAAGGTTATATCTTGTTGATTTCAGTTTTTTCAAGAAGCCAAAGCAACAAAAAATATACATAACGTAGTGCATAAACTCATTTAACATTGCAGGTATTGGGAAGGGGGCTAAAAATCAACTATTTTGTCATCAATTATTTGATATACATTAACAAGATTTGTCAAACTTCTGTAAGTCAACAATTTTCCTGAGCCCAATTTCTAGTAAATACCACCTCAAAGACTCAACTCAAAGTTATGGTCAAACTTCCAGTAGTTGAATTTGTGAGGCCTTTCATCATTGAATTACGGCTAAATTTTCAAAAAAATGTTTGAGAAAAGCATTAAAAAAGCAAATGCAAATTATTTCCTTTACGCTCCAAAAGATTATAAATTTTCTGCAGGTACAACATTTGTACTGGACAAGTGTAATACCATATTTACTTGAGTACCATGCGCACCTTTTTTCCCAAATTTCAGAAGAAAAAAAGGGTGGACTTCATAAGCAGGTACAACATTTTCAAGAAGTTTTAGGAAGTTATGTGTGCATTATACTTGATTATAATGGAGAAATTTGGAACAAATGTAACAAGAAAACATTCTTGTACTGAAAAAGCTAAAAATTGATCAGATTTTTGTTCAATTCATGCCTGAAGTCAAATTTTTTGTTTTTATTTGCAAAATTTTGTGGTTTTAGATTCACTAATAATTGGGGTGCGAGACTTAGTTGGGGATAAGATTTCAGCAAAATTTCAAACTGAAAAACCCCTCTGCATGCCTTACTCAAGGGTGCATGGTACTCAGGTAAATGCAGTAATTAAACCAGAATTCCATCAATTAACCAGTCCAAAAATACAGAAAATTTCCTGACTCCTTCAATTTTTTCTCAGAGTTCCTTCAAATTTGATTCGAAGTTTCCATTTCAATTGTAGAAATACGTTCTTTTAAAACCAGTCAACTCGATTTTAGATCACCTCGCATACACATACAGTAATTTCCTTTCATTTTTCTATTTGAAGAGCTCGTTTCCTCGGAAAAGCCTTTCCTCTCTCGATTGAACTTCTCATCGAATCACTTCACTCTGTTGACTATCCAACGTCGGTGAGAAAACGACGTCGAAGGAAACAAAAGAGAGAGAGAAAATAAATGCTGTATACGCAGCTCACTATAGAATCACCCAGTCACAAATAAGTCGTCGGGAAACCACATTCAATCGCTTCCCAACCATGGGAAAAACCGAAACAAAAACAAAACAGACACAAACACGAAACACATCCACCAGGCTCGTCGACCAGAATCCCAAGTCGCCGGAAGCGAATGCCTTCGGAAAAGATAAGCGGGACTCATCGCATCAAAAACCGTGACGCCGCGTTCCTTTGACTTTTATCACCGCTCAACTGATAGAAACATTATCGTCAAATCACTGGACAAAACATTCCGATCATAACTCCACTCTCTTCGTCGAAAACAAAAACAAAATTCATTCATTTTTTTTAAAACCTCAAAATCGCGGGGAAAATCCTCTCTAAATCTATGAAAAAAAAATGTCACTGTTTTCTAGCTGCAAATCGTTCCTGTGGGGAAAAAATAATAACGTTAATTTGCACACGAGATCGCTGAACCCGCAGAAATCGTAAGAAAAAGGACACGTTTCAACGATCAACTTTAATGCACAAACTGCAAAACATTCAACATCAACCAATTAGTTCGTGAGATGGTCGGAGAGTTTTACTTTCGCTTCTCTCCGGTTTTGCTGAACGTTCAACAAGATTTTTGTTGAACCAAGATGGACGAGGTCGATCCATTTCAATCAACCGCTTCCCCGTCTGAAAAAAAATAAAAAAAAGCAATCAAGAGTGATTTATTACTCAAAACGGGGAAATCAAATTTAAACAATTCCCAATGGATCCGAAAACGTGACTAATTTATTTACTCGACTGAAATGCTCACTTTTTCACGCAAAAATTCGATAAGAATAAATTATAATGGCGTCTCAGATAAGGAAGCAAAGGACAATATTAGCTCTGACGACAAAATAAAAATCAAGGTCTTGATTATCATTCAACCCAACAAGTCCTCACCACCTTTTTGAGTTTAATGACACCCGATTTAAAAATCCTGAGGGGGTTATGTTGGAAAATGAAGCCTAAGCACAATCAAAATACTCTTCCGATTTAGAAAAAAGAATCTATATACATTTTTATGAACATTTTCGTCTAGTTTCAAGACCCAAAGAAGATTTGTCTTGGAACCGGCGCCTTATACTCGATCGTATACAGTACTTCATTTTCAAAAAATAATAAATACGAAAGGAATATTTATTTCGCCTCATTTGATTTATCTACGCACAGGAATCTTCGAAATGGAGACAATTCCCAACTTTTGACTAACACGTTGAAATATAAAATTCTGCGCTTCATAATAAAAATAATAATAAATTATCTGCAAATCACAACAAATAGAGGATCTCTGAAAAAAAACTTACATTTGTAACACGTTCCGCTTGTTCATTTTGATAAACGAACTCAACATCTTGATCAATTGCACTCTTGCCCCAGGTTTTCTCCATGGCTGCTTGCATGGCCTTCGTTTCTTCCATCACAGTATCCAAGCAGTTTCCTATCAATCAATCCATCAAAAGTCAGGCTTCAAGTACTTTGAAACTCAATTCAAAGCACGTCTAAAACACCCCAATTTCAAAATTTCAGCAACAGAAGGTTTTATCACTGGCTACGAGACTCATTCAAATTTCGCAACGTAAGTTTCAAGCATAAATTATCTTCAGCACTTGAAAGCGTAAAAAAAATCAAAATTCAAAGCGAAAATCGGTTCCATGGGAAGAATCTGCACAATTCCACCAAAATATGAAACTTTGGACAACTTTAGCGGCGAGCTAAAAATACAATAGCGACTTAATCCACGATTTTATCCATCGTCACAATAAAAAAATTAACCAAGCGATACAATCAATAAAATACAACAAAAAATCCCTGCAGCGCGGCGAATTTTTCTTGACAACACAATATTTGCACACGCATTCCATTGGTGATTTTCGCAATTGAAAAGATGGAAGACACTTACTGCACAATTTCCCAGCCTCGTAATCGTGTCCACAGTCTTTGCACACCAACAGCGTCCTTTTGACTTGCAGGAGTTTCCGACCATTCGTCCAATTTTCCGCGCCAAAACGTCGTATGGTTCTTCTCTCAACACACCTTCGTTTCGTCGGAACTGCCCACAAAAATCCGTCATCCTTTCCTGGAGAGATTTCTGCTGATCCTCCGCCCAAAATCTGAACACAAACTGCGCCAAAAATGCCTCATTTGAACAAACAGCAAAAAAAAATGTGAACATTTTGAGGAGTCGTGAAATTCGTGTCAAAAGGAAGAGAATTTTTTGGATGAAAACACATGCCCGAAAAACGGGAAAATGAAGTCATAGAGATATGAAAATTTTCGGCAAGAAAAAAATACAGACAATAATTACCGTCCCTTAAAATGAGTCAATTGATTTTTTCCTTTTTAAAGTCGAAGCATCCTCGGTTAAAAAATCGTGAATCAATCAATAAAAAATAAATAACGCAGTAATTTGCTCCGAAAAAACCAAAAACTGTCCCCATTCTTTTCAAAGTCTTCAACGACTCGGTCGAGATATTGACTCTTTCTTTCACACTCTCCATTGACACAATTTTCACGATCACACCTCCAAAAAATTGTTACACTTTCTCCGAGTCTAAAAAGACGTCAGTAGTCTTTAAAAATTAACAAAATTATGAAGAGTGAATAAATATTTACCAGAAGGTGTCGGGTTGAAGCCGCCCCATTGAACCCAGTTCTCCATCATGGCCGACGCGCGTCGAGCCAAAACGCGACACAACAAATGGCTGCGCACTATCAAATCCATCCTTGAAGAAAACAAACAAGAAATAGCCACCAGAGGCGTAGAAAAATTCATGTTCAAACCGCAGGAATTCATCAAGAAATCACGCTACCCCGACAGGATATTTCATAAGTCAATGGTTTTCGCGGTTCGCGATTTCTCTCTTTTTACTTTCTGACAAAAAACGCATCGTGAATAACAATACTTTGAAATCAAAAAAATAAGGACTCGAGCGACGAAGGAAAAATGAAAGAAACGCACGAAAACTTTTCCTTTTTTCGTCAACAAGAAAAACGCTGCTTTTCTACACTGGGTGGAGTCCGCTACAAAAAAAGGGACTTTCGGCCAAGATCTGAAAGCAAATCATGGATTTCTCTCTTTCCTCAGGAATGCTCCACAAATGTTGAGAAACTCTTGACCACGAATCAAATTAACATATTGCATGAAAATTTATCGCTTCCACTAGCGATTCAAGCATTGCAGTTGGCAACAAGATCAATACTTTTCGAAATTTCATAAAAACCGTCTCTCCAGGAATTTCAAATTCCCGGAAAGGGGCTCATTCGGAGGGATTTCGGAATATGAAATGTGATGATGTCGCTTGAACGTCAAAAACTGATCACGAATTTCTTCACGCGTTCAATACTTTTCGCGGTAAAATTCACGAAGTCGCTTCGAAACCGTGTTCCTCAAAAAATATGATCCATTCACGGAAATTAAACCCCCAGTCAATAAATGAAATTATTTCACGTCGAAAGTGAGCTACAGTATTTTCGTTGAAATTTTGATTCGGAAACAACAATATAAATGACAGGGGCCAAGAATTTACTCTTCTCAAATTTCAGCTCACAGCTCCGTAGTTTTGCGATTGGAAAATTCGGCCCTAGAATTCCGAAAAAAAATCTTCAGAATAAGAAAAAAAAATTTAGATGATCTTATTTTCAGGGAGACACGGTAAGACCCAAAATTTTGAAAAACCCTCCCAAAATGTTCGTGGGTTTCAGTCAGTAAGATGGGAGTTGCTTCTTCTCCCACCATTTCGATCTCAACATATTCCCCCAATCCTCAGTTCTGTGAAACTCAACTCGTGAAGCATTCCCTGGAAATTCATCGCTGATTTTTCTCAGCCCTCTCCAGAACCTGGAAACCCGAAAGCCAGCTTGACAGACCCACCGCTAAAGCGAGACACAGTAATACGAAACGAGCATTTCTTTTTTCCCCTCGCGGTTTCAGTTTACGTATTCCCGTTGATGGTTTCGCTCACCTGCGATGAAACAAAACAAAAAAAAACACATTCCAGAGCTGGACAAAATGGTAACGCGCCAAAAAAAAAAAAAGTTGTTGTCGTGACTCGAATCCCAAGCAACACAAAAAAATACTTCGTGGGAGTTTCGATCGCATCCACTGAAAGGGGGTGGTGAAAAAAAAGCCAAGCGAAACGGGCCCCTTTCTTGGTAACGCGAAAAACGAGCCCAAAATGTTTTCTCTCCTCTCTCGCTTACAAAATATAGTTTTTCTCCGTCTCTAACGCACGCACACACACGAACAGTCCCAAGGATTCTACACATGATTTTTGTTTTTCCGTAATAGACCAAATCAAAAGAATTTGAGAGGAAGTTTTTCGCGAAACTTTTGGCTCCCTCTTACCGGGTTCATCCTTCCTAGATTCTGTTTAGTTCAGGGAATTCTCAGCGTAAATCGGAATGAACTAAGGTGAATAAATAGGTTTCTTCTTCCTCCTCTTTAAAGACATATCACATATCGCAAACTTTCTCCCTTTGGCTCTTGTTCAGTTGACGGACTGTACAGCGACACAATCATACACCACAGGGAATCGTAAACAAAGTAATCGAATACCCGAAGCGAATAAATGCGCGAAACATTTGAATAATCCGTGATGGCTTCACCAACCTGAGTGATTCAATAATCCAGAGGTTCTTGAAAGCTGCTGAAGTCACCCAACGTCCGCAGCAAAGATTAAAAATAAACATTTACAAAGTATTACGTCCATCAACTGAACAAGAACTGCACGATTCCCCCTATAAAAGATTCCTAGAACGTAGCAAACGTTGGGATACCTGAAAGCGCCCATTCGTTTCGCGGGAAGGATTAAATACAAGGCTGAGGCCCAATGCGTTCACGACATGGATGAAAAATTACTCGAAATCTCGTTTTCATTCTTAATCCACGTCATCAACTTTATCGAAGCTGCCTCAAGAGTTTCTCTTTCTACTTTTCGACCATCGAATCGCACGAACAGCTCTACTGGCAGAAGAGTTTAGCTATGAAAATCAGTAGCTTGAAAAGGTGTTCGTGCAAACCGGGAAGAAGATGAGGATTGAAACAGGGCTCGCTGCGAAAGAGACACGATTCAAGTGTTCACGGTTCATTAATAAATTTACAGGAGGATTACAACGCGAGTCCACCCGATTACAAAGCAGGAATCCACGAGAGGCGAAAATGACGCGCTTCTTCGGACTCCAGTCTTGAGGAGAGTCCCGCAGATCACGATTTGTGGTTATGAGTAAGCCACATGAGGCCCTCGAACAACCCATCGCCCGATGACGCTATCGAGGGTTGCACGTACCAATTCCGGTCTCGTAACCGCATCAGTCCCAGCTTTTCTTGAATCTCTTGCGGTTTCATGGCTACACACATCAAACATAGACGAGTCTGTTCGACCAAAAATTCTTAGGAAAAATTGAATCTGAACTCACCATCAGGGAGATCCTGTTTGTTAGCGAAGACCAGGATGAGAGCATCGCGCATTTCGCGATCATTGATGATCCGGTGGAGCTCTTGTCGCGCTTCATCAACGCGGTCTCGGTCCGCGCAATCCACGACGAAAATCAAGCCTTGTGTTCCGGTGTAGTAGTGCCGCCACAGGGGCCGAATTTTATCCTGCCCACCAACGTCCTAAAACATGAAAAACTGTCAGAGGCACTGAAAAAAAAAAGAGAGATCCGCAACGGACAACGTACCCAAACGTTGAATTTGACGTTTTTGTAAGTCACGGTTTCTACATTGAATCCCACGGTAGGGATCGTCGTAACGCTCTGTCCCAACTTTAGTTTGTACAATATTGCTGAAAAACGGAGAACCAGTGAGTATCGACGTCGGTAAGGATTCATGGGCTTTGTGATCTTACTTGTTTTCCCCGCAGCATCCAGTCCAAGCATAAGGATGCGCATTTCTTTGTTTCCAAAAATTTTCGACAGAATCTTCCCCATGGCGGGATGAAGACACTATTACCGCGACGGCGGGTCATTCACACCATTTTCCACACAATGAACAGAACAACGCGACAGCTATAAGGTGAGAGCACCAGGAATGAGGTTCGGCTTATTCAACAGACGATGCCGGAGTTAAATTCGAGGGAATTGTGGTGATCGATTTCGCGCAGTCCGCGGCGGTCCGAAAGTCACATCTAAGAAAATTCGATTTTGGACACTTTCCGTTGCACGAGTGCTCAGAATCCCAGCAAGGATCCAGTAGCTTCCTCGTCCATGGGAGCAAACGCATAGCTCCATCTATGGATAGCACAGGGTACTGCTTTTGCCTGCATCAAAAATGAGATCTGTTATGGCTCCTCTAAAATTACTCCCAGATATACAATACTCCGATATACTCCATACATTCTGCTAGACTGTTGTGCTGAAGTTGGGCATCCTCCCAGAAAAAAATGAGGGTGTCTCTTCATTCAGGCACTCATAGTGACAAAAAAAAATTTTTAATGCATATATATGTAAATCACACACTTACAATATTTCCTCATGCCATCAAGCAGGGGCACAAGCAAATCTCTTTGACATATCCCTCTATAAGAATACTTTTCAGGCTACACAAACAATTGTAGAATGATCTGCAAATAATGAACACCTCTTATTATGCTGATGAAGCATGAATTCTTCTGCTGTCCATGAAATATGATCCATATTATATATACAATGTTTCCTTTTCAAGAAAAACAGGGCAAATGAAGAATAATTTTAAAAAATATAAAAATAATTTAATATTAAACGAGCTATTTAGTGAATAAATTGCCTCTATATATACAAAACAAATTTCTTGACCTTTTTAAAATTCCCATCATGAATGCTTGATATCTGGGTTATTCAATGAACAGGTTGAATTTGTTTTTATACAGGGCAATTGCGGATTTAGTCAAGTATTACCAGGTCTGTTCTCTCAGGTTAGAAAATATACAGGATGAGCAAAAAAAAGTGAACCAATATTTGAATTAGGATATCTCTGTAAAAACTTGAGCTACAACAATAATGTTTGTACATCGAATGTTTGCATTGGAGTTTCTCTCACAGCTCTTGTGTTCCGCCATCAGGGCTGTTCTTTATGGATAAGTGTGCTGGGGTGCAGAAATTTAACCAGAAAATCCATGATACCTTCCACAGTGTGCTCACAGTCCCAAAATTCATGAAAATAATGTAGTAGTGAGAGAAAATAGTTGATGAGTGGGATATTTCACTACTCCCAGCAGTGCTCCCAATAAGGATTTTTTTTCTCTGGACCATGGTGGGATTTTAGGCATTGCCTTGTCCACTCAGGCCTGATTTTTCCAGCTCATCTTCCAATGAATGTCCAGTGAGCTGATTGAGTGTTTGTCTGGTGGCCTGATTTTGTGCATCCTGGGTTTTTGGGTATTGTGTACATGCCCATGATGATTTTTGTGTTTCCTGTTGGGTTTTTTTCCTGGGTGGGTTTATATGGACTTATTTATTTTCTTGTCTGTATTTATCTTGAATTTTTTTTGTGTGCACTGATGTGGGTTTTCGTGATTTTAAGGTAATTTTTGGGAGGTTTTGGAGGCAGCAGTTTAATAGGAAGAGTCACTGATGGACAACATTTTTTTCTGAAAGTTTTCATTCAAATAGTTTTTATGACAGTTTGATGACAATTAGGACTATAAAACAAAAAGCGATTTGAAAGAAAATTGAATTAGCTTTCATTTGGTGTTTTTTCATTGTTGTAGCTTACGTTTTAAAAGAGATATCCCAATTAAAAAATCGGTCCTTTTTTGCCCACCCTGTATATGATGTAGTAATACTGTACTTTCTTAAGTAATATGTTCCAAATTTAAAAACATTGGTTAACATGCAAATATAATTTCAAACCTGAGAATGCCTGCATGAATATATAAATAAATAAATTAGCAGTTTGTGAGTCAGTTTTTATAAAATGATTTTGTGAAGCAACTTTCAGACTATAGAGACAGGTTTGAAGTCAAAATAAATCATAACCTTCTGAAGAAGAAGGCAGATTAGAGAGCAGCAGACAGAAAAGCAATACAACTTGTTCAACTTGCAAAGAATATACTGATACATTCAGCCAATATCCCTTCATTTGCAACACAAGAAACAGGAAGGCAAAATAAAAATGTAGTTTGAGATATAGTAGAATACTTGCTTATTAAATAATAAGCAATTTTGGTATGATCCCCAAAATACAGTACTGTACTGGGGTAAAGCAGAAATCATATGGAAGGCTGGTACCAAATTTAAAGCATTAGATTGCTCTAAAAATGCTAAAAGCTTGTAAGGTAATATTCCAAAGCAAAGTTTGAAATTTCATCAAAATAGAAAATCTCACATTTTCTGGCTATTATTACAGGTGTAAATTTTTTGAAAAGGGTTAAAAGTGTCATCATTGTTGAAGAATTTGTTGAGCAAGTTGAACAGTAAACTTCTCTGGGTAAAATAACCATGATAATTCATTTCTGAAAATAGTGTGAAGGAGTATACATGCAGTTTCTGTTGTGTTGTTTTGAGGAATAAGATGAAGTTTCAGATTGAAGAGAGTTTTGAATGAGGTATCAATTTCAACAGAAAAATAACCCTGACGCCATTCATTCTGGACAATAATTTATTTTTTCTTCTGCATCTTAAAAACAAATGTCCCTGAAGTATCTCACCACAGTCTCCACACATCATAATGATGAATGAAAAATTCCTGCTTGTAGAAAAAATGGAAAAATTACTTTCTGGTCATGGCTAAAACAAAATTGCAAGATGTGAATGCACTTTGACCCTCTTCTCTCCAGGAATACATTTTCTAAAAAAAATGAGGAGAGCAGCTACAGTACATCATTTTTGACAAAGACACTCCCCCAAGCTTGTATATAAAAAATAGCTCAAAATAATGTTTTGCTTCATACAATAAATATTCATGCTGATGGAAACATTTTAGCTTTGTTCCTGGTTTTGCTGATTCTGGACTGCATCATCTCCAAACTTGAACATGCTGACGCTGAACTGCCCAGATGCTGGGAAGTTTTCCAATGCAGCTTGAACTTCTGGGGAAGGTTCCAGTTTTGACTTATTGTTGTCATCTGCAGCAGTTGCATCAGAATTGGTCTCCTCAGTGACTGCACTCTGTTGATCATCAGCAGGTACTTCAACATCCACAGTATCAACATTGATGCTGTCATCATTTGCAATCCTCAAGTCAACCCCCACATCAGGAATGCCCTCATCATCTGTTGATGGATCCTCTTGCTGGCCATCATCTGGCTGTACTGAGGTTTTTATTGTTATCTCCCTGGAATAAGGCCTGACTTCATATGATTTTGGCTGCCTAGGTGCTTCTTTCTGATCAGCATTGATCTTCCTAGTTTGTCTATAGTAAGGCCTCAGTGGCTGATAGGATTTCCCTTGTCTGGCTCCTGTTGGCCTTGGCCTGTTGACCTCCACAGTTTGTTTTCTCTGCGGGGGAGCCGAATTTTCAGACAAAGCATATCCATAAGAGGTCTCTCTTTGAGGCTCTGCTGCTTCAAGTTCTGATGATCTGAAGTATGGAGGCAGAGTTCCTGTATAAAAAAAGTAAATTTGTTTCAGTATACAGGACACTATTATACAACAGCTCAAAATTATCTGGAATCTATATGCAGTAAAATCTCATTAAAAATATACAATTAAAAAAAATTCAGTGCAACAAACTTTTCTCAAGTCCCAGTAGAACTTCCAATCAAATAATCTCATTATAACAAACTATTATCCCAGTGTAATACACTTTTTTGGGGAATTTTTACAAGATTCTCCAGGAATGAATTTCCTGTCTATATAGGCACTAGGCGAAGTCCAATGCCAAATATGACTGAATGGGTCTCAGCATGGATGCTGGAAGCCGTAATCAATGACAAAAATACTTTGAAATGGATCCACACATCCTCCTCTAACCAAAATAATTTTGACTGTTTGCAACTGCTGGGTTTGAGGCTGATTTTTCTTCTTATTTTTAAATAAAAATATGACCTGGTTTTTCAAACAATATCTAAAATTCATGAGTGTCAGAATAAAAGGAAGATCTATAATTGATTATATACAGGTCTGATGTGAACATTAATTTTTAAAATCTGGTTTTAACAAATTATTCATTATATATAGCACACTTTTTCTGAAGCCCCCAGAAAAAGTTAGTTGTAGCAAGATATTACTGTAATTACCTGACTGCGCCAAGGTTGAACCAGGATTTCCAGACTTAATGATAGAGCGAAGGTGGAATTCGTCATCATCCTGCTGTGCGTCTAGCTTCTGGAATATTCTGTCGTCATCTCGACCGTCAGTGACCTCGTCAGACTGTATGCTCACTGGCTTTCCCTGTTTGATCGGAGTTTTGTAGCTGTACACAGTGTACGCCTCTTCTGACACTTTCCTGGGCACGCCGTAAGAAGGCCGGTTCCCGGATTTCTGCTCCTCGCTCACGTGAGGCACCGAGTAGTCCGGCACGTATCTGGATTTCCTTTCGTCAGACCCGGGTGATTGCGGCTGGGCGTAACGAATCGGGGCGACGTAAGTGGACCCAACCGGGTTTTCTCGCGGCTTATTTAGGTAATACTTCTTCTTGGGCTTGGCTTCTCCACTTGAAGAAGCTTGGTCGTCGGAAGTTCTCCCGTATCCGCTTTTTGATTGTTGTTGTTGTTGTTTCCGGCCGGGCTTAGGTCGGGCTTCGTCAGAGCCATCTTCGCCAGAGGGCGCAGGGAGCAGGTAGACCAATTTGGTCTTCTTTTTCTTGCTGGGCTTCTCGTCAGAGTCCTGTCCACTTTGGTCTTCGTTGGAGTCTTGCTTTCCTATTCTGGGTGGGCCATAATAACTAGATGGCGCTTCTTCAGAGGATTTTTCTTGCTTTTTTGACTTTTTGGGTGGGCCATAGTAGCCAGATGGCGCTTCTTCAGAGGATTCTTGTTGCTTTTTGGACTTCTTTGGTGGACCATAGTAGCCAGATGGCGCTTCTTCAGAGGATTCTTCTTGCTTTTTGGCCTTCTTTGGTGGACCATAGTAACCAGATGGCGCTTCTTCA